GGGGAGGGGGCGCCTGGTAAATACAGACGGGGACAACCACTGGCCAGGAGGGCAGGAGGTGCCTGGTAAATACAGACGGGGACAACCACTGGCAAGGCGGAGAGGGGGCGCCTGGTAAAGACCACCCTGTGCACATCACCCAGAGTCCAGGCCAGGAAGGCGCTGCGAGACCAGCACTGCTTCATCAGAAAGTCGCAAGGGGACGGGATTTAGGAGAAATAGCGTCTAGGCACAGTCTAGGCCCTTATTTGGACCCTAGTTCAGGAAAACTCGGGGAACAGTTGATGAGACAGCTGGGGAGATGCGAGCAGTGACTGGCTATTTGATGATCTCAGGGAATGGCTGTTAGTCTTTAAAGTGTGTAGTTGGCTCTGCGAGGTTTGGCGTTTGGGGTTTTTGTTCGTCTGGTCCTTTTAGAGGCAGATGCTCACACAGGTTCCGAAGAAATGAAAAGGCGGGGGGAGACTGCTAGTGCGAGGCTGCCAGCTCCCTAGGCTCTCCTGCCAGCCCCAGCCGGCCCGGGAGGACCACACTGACTCGATGGGCCTGGCACATCTCAGGAAATCTGAGCGGGCTTATTGGCGGAACTAGCTCACCGGCTCCCGATCACGACTGCATCTAAATTATTCAGCAGGGCTGTGTGATCCTGTCGGTGGAGCTGTGCTTCGTTTTGTTTGCTTTATGCAGAAAGAAATGTTTGTGATGCTGGGCCACTTTCCACAGCGCTGGAAGGCGCATCCTAGGACACCTGGTAGGCCTGGTGTGATCTGTATTCAGATGGCCTGCCGTGTTGCCGTGAACCAGGAGGATAACCTGTGTGGGAGGAGGATGCTGCCCGCTGAGCAGCACTGAGTTTGGAGAAGGCAGTGGGGGCGGCGTGCTTCCTGCACGCACTGCCTCCTCCTCGCCCCCACCCACCAGCAGCCCCAAACTGCATCTCCTCTCCTGTCTTGGGAAGTCAGAGAAGCACGTGGAAGTGTGGGGACCTTTGGCAGCAGCCCCCCCCGTTGTTGGAGCAGGGTGTTAACCCCGCTGCGTGCCCCGTAGAGTCAGTGTGTCACCCTCGTGGCTGCTCCTCCACGCGCTCCTCGTGTTTGCTCTGTCAGCCGTGCATCCTCTCTTGGCCTCCTCCCAGACCTCGGCCAGCCCCAGCGCCTCGCCGCCAGCGATCACCTTTCTCTCCTTTCTTTTCAGAGGAACAAGAGCTGCCTGTAGACATGGAAGCCATCAGCCTAGACGGAGATGCTGAGGTAATGCTGCCGCTCCCCTGCCCCGTGGCCCTCAGGTTACGTTTTGTGAAGTTCCCAGATTAGTAAGTGATTCCTGGGTGAGGTCGTCTCAGTCCCCCGAGTGGGTCAGGCTCCTTAGGGTCTCATCCCTTGTTTTTAATGCCAGCACTTGAAACCCTATTTCAGGTTGACCATTGAGAATTTTGTGATAGATGAAATGATTTTTAAACCTTTGTCTCAAGTTCTATGGGTTGAATGATAACGTTGTAAATGGTGGAGTCTCCAGCCTCTGGATCGGAGCATGCATTAATAGTTGAGGGCGCGTGGACGCCGTCGTGAAGGGCGGACTATTGGTCACACTATAACCGACTTGGCGCACATGGGGGGCCTTCCCTGCACCCACAGCTGGTCACCGACAGTGACATGATTGGAGTGCATCTCCTCGGACCCAGGCCTCCCTTGTGTGCTCAGGGGAGTCTGGGGGAGAGAGGGTCTGCACACCACTCACATGGAGGGTCATCTTTACGTAAAACTTAATGCAGATCATGGCTAAACCAGAGACCACCAGGCAGCTTCCCTCCCCGACCGGCCCCAGCAGGCCTCCTTTGACAGCTCACTCTAGGAAGCTGAGCTGGAATCTTCTGCATTCCAGGATGTGGATCTGAATCATTACCGAATTGGAAAGATTGAAGGATTCGAGGTGCTGAAGAAAGTAAAGGTGAGTCAGACTGTCCTTTCACATGAGGTGACCTTGTCACACATGAGTCCATCACACTATGTAGACAAGCTCATAAAGGACATCCCGCATCCACGTGTGGTACGGTCGCTGTTCCTGTGTGTGAGTGCTGACCTGCAGCTGCAGTGTCTGCCCAGCCTTCTGTTCTCAGCACCGTAGACTATAGCACAGTTGGGCCGTAGAGGGCACCCCCGGAGCTGAGCTCAGGTCATCAGTGACGCAAACCGCCTGGCCCCTGAGTTGAAATTAAGCACACAGTCCATGACTCACTCCCGTTAAATGAGCTTTTCAAAAAAGGGCCCTGAGGGGTCTTCCTTGTGTCTGAAACAGCAAACTCTCCCAGCCACAGACAGACACATCCCTCACCCGGAGGTCTGCTCATGTGGGACCTCCCGTGGGGCCCCCTTTTGGTTTCTGGCCAACATCAGCGGGGCCAGAGCAGTTCTGCTCATGAGTGTCTTCCTAAGAAGCACGTGAGCATGTCATGCGCCCCACAGGAAAGTTTGTTCCATGTCCCTGTACCACAGTGACGTCCTCTCACGCCCCATCTGCTCGTCCCCAGACTCTCTGCCTCCGTCAGAACTTAATCAAATGCATCGAGAACCTGGAGGCGCTGCAGAGCCTTCGAGAGCTGGATCTCTACGACAACCAGATCAGGAAGATGGAGAACCTGGAGGCGCTGACAGGGCTGGAGTGAGTCACGGACCGAGGAGATCGGGGTGGGCGGGGAGACAAGCACTGGGGGCCCGCCCTGTCCCCTGAACGACCTCTGTGCCGGCCCCCAGGCCGGCCCGTTTATGGGTGTGGGGTGTGTGGGGCTCCAGGGGCAAGGCGGCTCCAGCACGTCGACCACCTGCCATGCAGTCGAGGCTGGCTGGTCTCGATTCCAGGAGGATGTGCCAACAGGGTAGGGAAAGTCAGTCCAAAAGTTCCCATCAAGTACCTCCTTTCTGGCCTTGGGTACCTTTTTTTTAAGTAAAGGAATAAGTGACATTTCTGACTTATGGAGTCAGGTCCTAGATGTCATCTTACCTGAACTTCCGCTCCTCTGCTTTTTGTTGGTTTGTTTGCGTGTTTTTTCATTCAGCACTTTCTCGATCCCTTCTGTGTGCTGAGCCCGGTGCCAGGCTGTGCTGTGAACACAGATGTGGACAGGGCGGTTCTGGCCTCAGAGGCCTCACGGAGACAGTGCTGGGAGCCACGGCTGTGGGGGGCGGGTCTGGGGGGCCCAAGACCCCACAGTGCAGCACAGGGCAGGCGGTGGGAGGGCCACCTTCAGGTCTGCCGCCCAGGCGGTATATACCCAGCAAGGGGAACACCGTTGCTAAGTTAAGTGTTAATGTGCCCGTTAAAAAAAAAAATGTTTGCTTGTTCCCAGAATTCTAGATATTTCTTTTAACCTGCTGAGAAACATTGAAGGGATTGACAAGTTGACACAACTGAAAAAACTCTTCTTGGTCAACAATAAAATCAGTAAAATTGAGAACTTAAGCAACTTACATCAGCTACAGATGTTGGAGCTGGGATCCAACCGCATCCGGGTAAGTGCTGGCGGTGCCAGCTGGGCCACGGCCTGTGGGGCTGCCCACCACCGGGGGCTGGGAGCTTGGGCCCAGTAATGTGGACCAGTGAGGAGGGGGTCAGGATGTTTGGTGGGCCTATGTTTTTTATAGTATTGAAGATGTTTTTTTCAGGAACAGGAAAGTTATTTTGCTGGGGTTTTTTGTTTTGTTTAAGGAAAAAATAAATATAGCTGTAAGTCAGTATTAGTAAGATGTGCTCCCCTGCGTGGCCTGGCCTTTCTGCACGTAGGCTTTAGCTGTCTCCATGCCCAAACTCTGACCCAAACCAGCAGCCCATGCCCAGGTGCCCTCTGCATGGAGGCTGCTCTGCCCCTTGCCTGTGCGTATTGGCTCACACCCTGCCCCCCCCCCCCGAGGTAGGGTTTCCCAGGCACTGTCGACAAGCTGGCGTCTGGCGCACACACGACACAGTCCCCTCTGAGCACCATGCCAGCGGCACAGACCACACGGGGAATCAGATGCTGTCCTTCTTCTCCAGAAACGTCAGGCCGATGGACAGAAGAGATTTCTGAGAAACTCTCTGGTGTTCCATAGAAGCAAGACCAAGTCCTCTACCCAGTGACGTTAGGATTGCTGGGAGTTGGGTGTCTGCTGGAGGAGCGCGGGGGAGGGGTCACAGGAGGACTGACCTTCGGGATGGGTCTGTCAGGCAAAGCCCAGGCAGGGGACACCAAGGGTTGCCCCTGACTCAGTGACCCCATGCACAGCAGAACAAATGCTGCCCAGTCCTGAGCCATCCCCATTATTGGCAGCAAATTGGACTCTTGTGATCCATAGAGTTTTCATTGGCTGATTTTTGGAAGTAGATGGCCAGGACTTTCTTTCTAGTCTGTCTTAGTCGGGAAGGTCTGCTGAAACCTGTCTGCCATGGGTGACCCTGCTGGTCTTTGAACTACCAGTGGCATAGCTCCCAACGTCACAGCAACACACAGGCCACCACTGTCCTGCCAACTGACAGACGGGTGGTGGATAGGCAGAGCTAGGACATCTCTAAGCAGAAAACCACCTGACCCACACTCCTGGCCTCCAAGGGGTCATGACGAGAGGGACCAGCGGTCACCGAGCCTGGTGTTTCTTTATTCCTGAAGTGCCTTTTTGGCTTCTGGAAGCACTGTGGTCTGTCACCTGTGCCCCTGAGAGCTGAGTGGGATGCACACCAGGAAGGTGGTCTTGACAGGTATCTCTCCTGATGGCTGTTGTGCGAGGTCTTGTGGCTGCAAATAGCAGAGCAGCCACCAGGAGGAAGGTGGTTCGTCACGGAGTAATGCAGGTGCTAGTGCTTAAGGACACCCTCCCCGATTCTTCGTCTTCAGAGATGGCACCCCATTGGTGTGCCTGCTGTGAGTGACGGGGTGTGCCCCCTGTGTGGCTGGATCCCGCTTCCCGAGCACCTGCTTAGTCTGGTTACTTCATAGCTGCTCAGATGCTGGAAGGTAACTTGTTCTAGAGGAGCTATGGGCTCAGAGGAGGGAGGAGACTGAGGCCTGGTGTTATTCAGCAGCCTGCTATAGGCAGGGAACGGCGCTGGGGGCGCAGGTGGAACCTACAGTTGACTGGAGGAGCACCATGGACGACGTGCCTCCACTCACAGCAGGGAGAGCAGCCAAGAGGGCTGTGGAGCTGAGGGCCAGAGCCCATAGCCATGGGATGAAGGTGACCCCCCTGGGAGCAGGCGGCGCAGCCACCAGGATTCTAAAGGCCGGGCTCAGGGCCTCCAGCATCTGCTGCTTCTGGGAAGCAGCAGACCCCGAGCAGTGTGATAACCTGTCAGCTCAGAAGTTCGAACAGGAGGGACCTGAGAAATCACCTAGTTCATTTATTTTCCAACTGTTCCCTGGAACCCCAGAGCTCTGTGAAAGCTTGGGGGAAGAGCGGAGGCCAAGCAGACGGGGCTGGAACCCTCCCTCCCCCTTCTGTTTTTCCATACGGTGCTTTCAAGGAAGATTTCACTGGAAAACTTCCAACAGAACATAACTTGCCCACGGCCACAGAGCTAACCCAGAGAGCTTTGGGTCCTTGTTCAGGGATCTCTCCTCGCCTGGTGTGGTCGTGGGCCATGCAGTGCTAACTGTGCTCTGTCCTCCTCACAGGCAATTGAAAACATCGACACATTAACCAATCTTGACAGCTTGTTTCTGGGGAAAAACAAAATTACTAAACTTCAGAACCTGGATGCGCTTACCAGCCTCACTGTCCTCAGTATGCAGGTACCATGCTCACCCAAGTGCCGTCCCCCCGAGCTCCTGGCCCCTGAGCCCCGTCCCCCCCGACCCCAAGTTCTGCCCTGCACGTACAGGTCCCATGCCCATCCCAAGCTTCCGGGCTCCCGGCCCCCCGAGTGCCATTCCCCCAGGCCCTCAGGGTCACCACGTGCAGTATGCCCACCCCGGGTGCCGTCCCCCCGAGCCCTGAGCTCCCAGCCCCCTGAGTACCGTCCCCCCAAGCCCTGACTGTCCCCCCACGTGAGGCCCACACCCACCCCGAGCTTCATGCCCCCAGCTCCATCCCCTCCATCTCCCGTCCCCCTAGCGCCGAGGAGCCCACCTGGCACTCTGTCCAGCACAGGCCAGGGTGGCTGAGAGGTGTTGTCTTCCACTGATGCGTGTGCAGCCTCAGTGAGCTGTTTCACCGTCTGTAAGGGGCTGAGGTGTTGGGCTTCGCAGACCTCACGTACGCAGGGTGAAGCGAGCTTCATTCGCATATGGCTGTGTTCTTTGTTCTAAACGTGTTCCTAGAGTCTAGTTTGAGTTCAGTATATACTGAAATAAATGAAAATTAACGTACTATGAAGTATCCAGCGACCCTGACGTTTTGAAATGACTAAATTAACTCAGGTAGATCTTTTCCAAGTGTGTCTTTAAAAAAGCGTGTTTTTTACATAAGACCTTGAACTCTCACGCGTACATTTTAGCCCAGTCCAACATGCTCGGAGTTTTAGTCATCTCTGTCTACACAGCCCAGCTTGGCCCGTTTGTTAGGGTTCTTGGCACAACGAGAAGCCCCATGTCCTAGCGCCCAAGCCCACGTCACCCAGCCTCCACCTGTCCCGTGTCCTAGCGCCCACGTCACCCGGCCTCCGCCTGTCCCGCGTCCTAGCGCCCACGTCACCCGGCCTCCGCCTGTCCCGCGTCCTAGCGCCCACGTCACCCGGCCTCCGCCTGTCCCGCGTCCTAGCGCCCACGTCACCCGGCCTCCGCCTGTCCTGATGTTGTGGGCTCTCTCTTGTAGAGCAACCGGCTGACCAAGATCGAGGGGCTGCAGAGCCTGGTGAACCTGCGGGAGCTCTACCTCAGCCACAACGGCATCGAGGTCATCGAGGGCCTGGAGAACAATGTAAGACGTCTGGCGGTCCATCTCGGGTGGCCCCCAGGCTGGTCTGCAGGCAGATGGCAGAGCCCTCGGTGGTGGACACCACGTGCTCTCTGCTCACCTGGGGAAGCTCGAGTGCATGCACGCGCGCCCTGGGCGTCACTGGAGGGCTGTGCTTGGCACACATGCGGAACGTGGGTGTCGGCACCATCCCTGGTGGCCCCTTGCTGGCCTGTGCTCCCCCAACTGCGTGGATGTGGAGGCACCTCTGCCCCGGCCGCCGTGCTCTGGGCAGTTTGCAGGATTAAAAAGACAGCCTCTCCACGGGCACAGGGCTCACTGGCTTCAGCAGCCACCCGTGCCTCCCCAGCCCCCGCCTCCCCAGGCAAGCACGGAACAGCGTGCTCTCAGCCTCTCACCACCCTTCTCCCCATGGGCCGCGCACGTCCCTACCCTCCCCACGGGCCGCGCACGTCCCTTCCCTCCCCGCGGGCCGCACACGTCCCTACCCTCCCGCTGGCCACGCACGTCCCTACCCTCCCCGTGGGCCACACACGTCCCTACCCTCCCCGTGGGCCATGCACGTCCCTACCCTCCCCGCGGGCCACGCACGTCCCTTCCCTCCCGTCCCTTCCCTCCCCGCGGGCCACGCACGTCCCTACCCTCCTCGTGGGCCACGCACGTCTCTACCCTCCCTGTGGGCCACGCACGTCCCTCCCCTCCCCGCGGGCCACGCACGTCCGCACGTCCCTACCCTCCCCGCGGGCCACGCACGTCCCTACCCTCCCCGCGGGCCACGCACGTCCCTACCCTCCCCGTGGGCCACACACATCCCTACCCTCCCCGCGGGCCGCGCACATCCCTACCCTCCCCGCGCGCCACACGTCCCTACCCTCCCCGCGGGCCACACACGTCCGCACGTCCCTACCCTCCCGGCGCCACACACGTCCCTACCCTCCCCGCGCCACACACGTCCCTATCCTCCCCGCAGGCCACGCACGTCCCTACCCTCCCCACCCCACAGGCCATGCACGTCCCTTCCCTCCCTGCGCCAGTCTGTCCACTCTCGCCCTGCCCGCCCACCACCCAGTCTCGCCTGGGCACGGGCACTAGCCGGCAGTGGCTGGGGGTTTCCTCAAGGTTGTCTCTGGCACCCCGTCACCCTCAGGGAGCAGCTTCCCCCGGTGCTGTCTCCCAGATCAGTAAAGTACTTTTGCTCTTTCTTGTTTTTTTCCCTCTTGTTTTCTTTAATTGCCAACAACTCCAGCCACCTGGTCACTTCGTGTTGTGTGACAGCGTGTCAGTCACACTGAAGGCCCCTCTGGCCTTTGTGCTGTAACCCAGGACCTAGTGGCTGTTGGTGGTGTGTCCCGGGGAAGCCAGGTTCTGAATTTCATCTCACCAGCGTCTGCATGAGCTCTGGAGGAGTCAGAACGTGCCATGGGCAGCGGGGTCACCTCCCTCAGGCTCAGCAGTCAGATTAAGAGTTTACAGAACCAGTGTGTTGTATAAACCTGGTCTTCGCTTGTGCGCTAGAGGCTGGGCTGGGGCAGCCGGTACAAGTGCGGAGGCTGTGGGGTGTGGTAGGCAGGCTGTGCAGAAGCCGAGATGGTCCAGCCGAGGTGCCCGTGCTGGCTAGCGCAGGGTGCACGCCGCCCCTGGCCTCCCCATCCAGGTCCACAGCCACCCCTGAGCACCTGCCCGGAGAGGGCTGCTCACGGTAGAAGGGCAGTGGTTGGAGTCTGGCTGGCAGGAGAACATGATGGCTCAGTGCAAGGCCGCTCCTGAGCTCTGAGACAGAAAATCCCCATTGTGGCTCTCAAGGAGCCCTGGTGCGCGGTGGTTAAGCACCTGCTGCTAAGCGAAAGGTCAGCGGTTCGAACCCATCAGCCGTTCCTTGGTAGAAAGATGAGGCAGTCTGCTTCCATAAAGATCACAGCCTTGGAAACCCTATGGGGCAGTTCTACTCTGTCCTGTAGGGTCGCTATGAGTCGGAATTAACTCAACAGCAATGGGTTTAGTTTGGGTTTATGTTACTTTCGTGCTCACCTGGTCAAACGTGATAGTCATTTCTTTGGGGTTTGTTTCCAACTAGAGAGAATCACCTGTGTTTTCTTCTAGGTGTTTCAGTTCTTAAGTTCCCTGCTTAGTTTGTCTGAAGTTTGCTGTGTGGTGGGAGGTGAGGAGGTGCCTGTGTCTTTGCCCCAGTGGCTGAGCCGTGTCCCAGCAGCGTTTATTAAGTGATCGCCATTCCCGCAGACGGGCTCGTGAGCCTCCGTCATCTGCAGTGCAGTACTGTGTAGCGCCTGCGGGGACCAGGCCCCTCCTTCTCTGGGGTGCAGCCTGTGCACCTGAGCCAGCCCCTCACTGCTCTAACTGTACCCTCAGGGCGTGTTCTCACACTTGCTGGGATGCTCGCCCCCCACCTGTCCGATCCATCCCTCCCTTTAAGGAGTTCTGACTGGTTTGCTTTCAGACGGGCTCTCATATCGTTGGCATCTCCCCTAAGACGTGGGAAAGTGTTGACCAGTTTGTCAGTGAGCTCAGGTCTGGGGCCATTCCTGGCGGCCACCGCTTCCCTTGCGCAGCCCTGGCTCTCAGGCCCCACTGTGTGCTTTGGCCGCCTTCCGCTCTGCCTCGTGGCCACCGAGGCCAGCCCAGCCAGATGCTGAGGGTGGGGGAGTGTGGGCTTTCAGGGACCCATTTGTCCCCACTCTGCCGCCAATGCTGCACATCCTCGGCCTGCCCACAGTCTGCAGCCCCACCTCCTCTTCTGTGCCATTCTCTCAGCCTCCATTTTGCTGGAAAGTCCTGTGAGGTCCTGCAGGCAGGCAGCCTTCTGGCACTCTGTGGGCCTGAGTCCTCTCTGAGTGTGGAAGGAGCTGCCTTGTTCACATGCCCCCTCAGCCCCACGCAGAGCATGCCACGGTGGCCATGTAGCTTGCTGGGAAAGTGGGATCCTCGTGCCTGGCGCCTCTGAGCGTGTGCACGGCGGGGAGCAAGGGGGGCCAGGGTCGGGCCCGTGAGGAGTGCTTCCACAGCAGCTCGCCGGCCGGATGCTTGTGTCTGGGCTTTGTGTTTATCTTTGAGACATTTTGACTTTCCCCTAAAGCTTGGGAGGAATTGGACTCAGAACTCCAAGAGTGTGTGAGGAAAAGGAAATGGGACCCTCACTCAGAAGGGAGGGCACAAAGAAGGGAGGGAACTTTTATCGGAGGCTGTCAGCCAGCTCTTAAATTTTTTCTTTTGGAGAAACTTGCCAATTGGTTTGATTAAACGTAACATAGCTTTAACACTTCATTATCACTACAGTCTTATTTTTCTGTTAAATCTTGAAACCCTGTAAGTTTAAAAGAAAAGTCCGGCCAGGCCCAGCTGGCATTATTGGAAAGTGGGCATCTGATGGGCATTTTCAGGAGAGAGAGTCAGAGCAGCATCTGCTAAACACAAAATGGTGTCTCTGGCCGAAGTGCAGACTCCCAAGTCCCAGCACACCTGCTGCGTGGAAGGCCCTGGGACGCCCTTCTGGCAGGGCTGAGCGTGCCCTTGCCTGCAGAGCTCCCCTGCCACCTTCCCATCTAACAGGAACCACAAGCTTCACCTTCCTTAGGGCCCGCTTCTCTTCTCTGCTTGGCCTTGGAGTCTGGGCACCACCTCTGGCCTTCTCACCATGTACCTTGTCCATCCTTAGCCTCCTCGGCCCTGGCTTCTCGTTCCTAAATGAAGAGAGGATACTATCGTGAGGATTCCTTGGTGTAGGATGTTGTCTTGTGATAAGTGCTAAATAGATGTTACTGCAGCTGCCCTCCTCCCCATGCCTCTCTGCAGCCCCCTAAGGCATCTCTGCTTTTAGGTGGGGAGACTCTGCTCTGGGGCCTAGGGGCAGCATTGGATGGGGGATCATGAAGCACAGGGCCTGGATTCTGACAGTGTCAGCTTCGAATCCCAGCAGTGATGATCTCGATGTCATGAGGGCTGTGTGTGTAAGCACTGACCCTGAGTCGGGCCCAGGGAGCCACGGGAAGTGGGCAGTTCTCATGTCTGCATGCTGTTCTGTGAGGGCGGAGAGGGCGGCTCCCTTGCAGCTCCAAGCCCTCACCCCACACTAAGTACATGGTCACCAATGTCATTGCTGAACTGAGGTAATCTAGGATAACTTTTATTTCCTTGTTTTAGAACAAACTCACCATGTTGGATCTTGCATCAAATAGAATCAAAAAGATTGAAAATATCAGCCATCTAACAGAGCTGCAGGAATTCTGGGTAAGTTTACTCTGTGCTGGGATTGATGACACTTTGACTAAACTGGCCCCACTGAATAAAACGTGTGAATTTGAGTATCTCCAGTCCTGAAGACTTTGACACTGATTAAATCAGATGCGTAATGAGATTTGAGTTCTGTTTTGGTGTTGGAATTAACCTTGCACTCAGAACCTGGTCTATAGACCAGCAGCTGTGGGCGGCATCACCAGGAGCTTGTTAGAAAAGCAGAATCTCAGACCTCACCCACCCCAGATGCAGGCTGAATCAAAATTGCATTTTAACAAGATTCTAGTGATCACAGTGCACGCTGTAGTGTGAGAAGGCCCTGGTCTATATATGGTTAGATCTTAGAATTGCCATATGATTCAAAGGTTTTCAAAGCCTGGCAAGGGGCAAGGACGTTCAGTGCAGACGTAGCCCAGAACAACGGAATGAAGTGTTGGGTAGGCCTCTGCCGTTAGCTATCTTGGAATTTGTGTTTGGTTCTTGGCTATAGGTGTGGTTTTTAGGAGTAGTAGTATAGAGCCAGTAGAAAGAGAAACAATGTGAAAAGAAGTCTTTGCTACTCCACTGAAGGGGTTGCATACGATCACCATCACAGAGTTAAAGTCCTCAGTGTTAGGATTTTAGCAATTTGAATATGGTGTGTTTTCTTTACTTTGATATGCTAGGGTTTATTGAACTTCTTGGATCTAACGATTTACTGTTTTCATTAAATGTGGAAAACTTTGAGAAGTTATGTTCTCAAGTATTTTATCTGTCCCTTCTTCCCCTCGGTTTCTTTCTAAAACTCCAGTTATACATATGTTAGTCCATTATTAGTTAGGTCACTGAAGCCCTTTCCCACTTCCACCTTCCAGACTTTTATCTTCCTGTGCTTCAGTTTGCATCACTTCTGTTGGTTCAAGGTTATGATCTTTTCTTATGATACAATATCCAGTCTGCTGTTAAACCCATGTAATGAGTTTTTTTTATTTTAAATGGTGTATTTTTTAACTCTAAAAAATCATTTGGTTCTTTTTTGTAATTAATGAGTTCTCTAATCATTATGTTTTCCTTTAAATCTTCCCATCACGTGTCTAGTAATTTTTATTAGATGTTGGACATTGTGTATGTTAAATTTTTGAGGGTCTGGATTTTGTTGTTTTCCTTTAAAGTGTGCTGGCAGACAGTTAAGTTACCGTTTGATCCTTTCGAGGCTTGTTTTAAGCTTTATTAGGATGAGTTGAAGTAGCCTATCCTCTAGGGCTACCTTAGCCCTACTCCTAAGCTAGTAGCAGTGACCCTTCTGAGGTGTCTACTGAATGTCCCTGGTACTTAATGAGGCCTCTCCACTCTGGTTGGTGGGAACACAAACGTGTCTCACCCTGTAGGAACCCTGGTCATTATCCAGCTCATGGCTCCCTAGCAGGTGTCCTTGACCAGCCTCGGGGGTGTCACGCTGCACATGCACAGTGTAGTTTTCAGTCTAAGACTCAAGGGAACCCCATGAGATTTCTGGGGCTTTTTTCCTACATGGCTCACTCCTGTCCAGAAATTCCAACTGCCTCTGCCTCCCTGAACTCCAATCTCTACCTTCTCAACTCAGTGTGGCCACTGGGCTCTGTTTGAGTTCCCCCTCACAGTGCGAGAGTACCTCCAAACAGAAGGCCGGCACAATCAGAGCTCCCCTGGTCTGTTCCTAGGAATCACTGTTTTGTTCTGTTTTCCAGTTGTTTACAGCAAAAAGGCAAGACCAGCACCAGTTACTCTATCATGGTCAGAAGCAAAAGTCCTGCACACTTAGTTTATTTTTGTGTCTGTCTCCTCCTGCACTAGAATGTGAGCTTCGTGAGGGCAGGAGCTTTGTCCGTTTTGTTCTTTCTTACCTCACCAGCGTCTAAGAATAGTGCCTGACACAAGGTAGGTTGAATGAGGGAAAGGAAAATAGGAAAGGAAGGTTGGTCAAATGGGTGGAGGCCAACTGTACCTAACATTGACAAACATGCTTATCAAACATATCATCTCAAGGGTTCATGTCTTTATGATAAAAACAGTTCACACAAAGGTGCCATTTGAAAACTGGGTATAGAGACTGAATAGGTGATTCACAGAGAGAGAAGTAATGGTTACTTTAAATACATAGAACATTTTGTTTCTCATTAATAATTTTTTCAAATACAGTGTAACAATGAGATAGTGGGTGTTGTCTGCCACGTTGGCAGATATTAGCACACTGTGACTGCAGCTAGTCCGTAATGTGATGGTTACCCCACAGCAGCCAGTAGGACCACACCTAGTGCACATTCTCTGTGGGACATTTGCAGAGCCTTAAAAGTACCCATAATTTCACATCTAAGATCTAAGCAAATGATGAGAAATGCAGAGAGAGATTTATGTACTAAAATATATAAAGACCGGGGTTTGTTTTTCACGGTGGAAGTAACTTTCTTATATTTCTTTATGCTAAAAGTATGTCTGCTCATTACAAAACGGGAAAAAAATCAGATGATAAAGGTGAAATGAGAGAGTCTTTTTTCACGTATATCCTCTCAAACATTTATAGAGATACACTATTTTTTAAAACGAAGATGAGGAATCCTATCTTATATAACCAAAAACCAAAACCCGTTGCCGTAGAGCTGATTCCGACTCATAATAACCCTATAGGACAGTAGAACTGCCCCATAGGGTTTCCAAGGCTATAAATCTTTATGGGAGTAGACTGCCACATCTTTCTCCTGCTGAACTGCTGGGTGGGTTTGAACCACCAACCTTTCAGTTAGCAGCCAAGCTCTTAACCACTGAGCCACCAGGGCTTCTCTATCTTAAGTATGTTAAAAATAAATAAATAACTAAAACTCCAAACCTGCTGCCGTTGAGTCGATTCTGACTCACAGTGACCCTATATGACAAAATAGAACTACCTCATAGGGTTTCCAAGGAGCGGCTGGTGGATTTGAACTGTCGACCTTTTGGTTAGCAGCCAAGCTCTTAACCACTGCACCACCAGGGCTCCCTATCATATATACGGCCCTGAAATCTACTTTTTTGACTTAAGGTGTCTTGGACATTTGGGCTCATGAAGACCTTCCTAACCAAGACTGAAAAATAAGAAGCTAAAAAAGAAAAAAACTAGACATTTACCCTTGTAAAAATTAAAAGCATTTTGTATGATAAAGTCCAGTGGTCACCTGAAAAGTCAGGATTTTTTTCCTATAACATACAAAAAGCTCTTAAAAAGTGACAGGAAAACCACCCAATAGAAGAATAGGTGAACGACAGGAGCGAGCAGTTCAGAGTGTGATGCGTGTCACCTCTGCCGTACTTGAACGTTTCCAAGCCTGACGGTACTGCAGGTGGGGCAGGGTGCTGAGGGTGCTGTCACCGCGGCCGGCGGGGCTGGGACATCCGGCAGAGTGGGCAGTGCACGGCTGTGAGGCCAGCGGCCCCTCCCTGGTCATCCCCGTCACCTGTTCCCTGGGGCAGCAGGGAAGGTAGGCGTTGTGCAGACCACTCCACTTGGTCGTACCAGAAGCTGTAGCCAGGGGAGCAGAAAGTCAGGTGGGAGAGCATTCCTGACCCTTCTCTCCAAGTCACGGTCCTGCACTGTGTCGATGCCCGTGACTGTGGAGGTCCAGCTCCCCGCACCACTGTGGGGTGGGGGCCCTCTGTGCGTGCCTCACTGTCAGCAGACACTGCTGTCTCGCCTAAGCTGAAGGAATCGTGCGGGCTCCATCTGTCTATTGCGTCGCCTGTGCCATCCTCGCACAGCTTTGCCGGCCTCGCCCTAGATGGAAATGTTTTGCTTTTCCATGCCACCCCGCATGGAGCAGCTTGTACGCCACTTTTGCACACCTACCTGCACTTCTAGGGTAAGCTCCGAGTGGGAGGGTGGTGACTAGGTGGTGCAGAGTCACACTGACGACACGGTCCCGAGCTGCTGTGTGAGCGGCTGGGCAGCACCCGCTCCTGACCCCGTGTCCCTGGGCCTGTGTCCTCCCCCCTCCCCAGGGCAGCCTCCTAAGCCAGACGGCAGCTGCCTGCCGCTCCGTTGGTTTTCGTTCTCCTTACTTTAATCGCACATGAGCTTGACCCTGTTTCCTGTGTGTCAGCCAGTTTTCCTTTGTACTTGCCTCTTGTACCCTTTGCGAGCTTCGGTCTGGCAGTGCCTGCCTTTGACGATGATTTTTAAGGCTCCCTCCATATGCGCGTCATTTGTCCTTTGTCCGTCATCGTGTTGCACATGCTCCTCTCCGGCGTGTTACTGCCATTACCTTCCTTGATGGCGCTTGGATGCTGTAACTATCGCACAGACAAAGGAGGTTGTAACTATTACACAAACAAATCCTCAGCTTTCTGTTCTCGGTGTCAGTTTATTAAAGGTTATAAACCCTAAGCTTTTAAAGAACGTGTAGTTGATGTTCTTCTAAAACTTATTTATTTTTTTGTAAATACATCTTTTCTCTACTTGGTCATTTTTGGTTTTGTTTCTGTGTTTTTTTCCAGTTAGGTAGAAGCAAAAGAACTGTATTTTTTTTTTCTAGGTGGTTAGCCAGCAAAATTATTTTTAGTAATAAAAACTTGGAAATAGCCTAATTTTCTAATAACTGAGGGAATAATTAAATGATATGCTATGTGCTGAAACATACTGTCACCATAGAACGAGGCCTTCCAGTGATGTCTGTAGAAGATCTTCAATTACCAAAAAATGCTCAGGATAACAGTGTTAATGAGAAAAGAAGGCAGATGAAAAACGGTGAGATCAAGGTATTCTTAACCTCAGAGCGCGTGGGCGCACACGTAGAGAAAAGACCAGAAGGAAATAGGCCAAAATGGGAGTTTCTTATCTCTGGATTGTGAAGGTGGCATTGGTTTTTCTTTTTTCTTTTATGTTCTTTGGTTCTTAGAGGTTTTTTATAATGAGCACGTACTGTTTCTAACGGAAGGAAGTTTAGAGCGCTACGTTCTGAAAGAACCAGAGGTGGAATATGCGCGCAGTGTCAACCCTGCTGGGATGTGAGTGTTGCAGAGAGGGCTGAAGAAAACGTCGCCGGTGCTCTTCCTCGCACGGCGGGGTCCTGCACGGGCTTTTCCCTGTGCTGTCCTGTGTTCCGCAGTTCTCAGCAATGAGCTTTCTTATGTGGGGGAGGAGAGACAGCCGCTTTTGTGTGTTTTCACGGAGGCTGAGTTCCGATTGTGAGGCCATGTAAGCCCCTGAAGCATTACACCGTAGCGGGGCCCGGCACCACCCATACCCGGAGCACCACAAAGCTGGGGTCGCAGGTGGTAACAGTGTAGACCGGACAAGGGCAGCCACAGCAGGGGTGTAAAGACGAGAGAGAATTCCAGAGACTTGGGGAGAAGCCCCAGAAATCGAGATCAGCTGGGGCAAGGCAGCAGTCAGGGATGACCGAGCTCTAGCATGAAGACCACTGTGAGGACCGCAGCTATGGAGGTGGGCCGGGCCCATGTCAGCAGATGTGTGCACAGGTGGGGCCGTGTCCGCATCAGCAGATGTGTGCATGGGTGGGGCTGTGTCCACGCCAGCAATGTGTGCATGGGTGGGGCTGGGCCAGTGTCAGCAGACGTATGCACAGGCGGGGCCGCATCCGTGTCAGCAGATGTTTGCACAGGTGTGCCCGTGTACTCTGGACAACGCTGCCCACCACCGTGTGCTCTCCTGCTGTTCCTTGCACTCCAGCTCTGCAAACCTGACACCGTGGATCAGGCCTCAGAGCATGTGACTTTTCTTCCTACTCCACAAAGACGTGTGAGCAGCCACCACGTGTGTCACGGTGGCAGGGTGCAGAAGACGCTACTCTGTACTGCCTCAGCCTCCACCGCACGCGGAGGACAAGACTACAGACCCCAAAGTTACCAGAGTTGAGGGCAGCACCCACCACAGCAGTGTGTGCGTTGTTTCCTGTCCCACCGTGAGGAGTGTGGCAGGACCCACCACAGTGTGTGCGTTGTTTCCTGTCCCTCGTTGAGGATTGTGGCAGGACCCAGCACGGCAGTGTGTGCATTGTTTCCTGTCCCACCGTCAGGAGTGTGGCAGGACCCACCACGGCAGTGTGTGTGTTGTTTCCTGTCCCACCGTCAGGAGTGTGGCAGGACCCACCACAGTGTGTGCATTGTTCCCTGTCCCACCGTCAGGAGTGTGGCAGGACCCACCACAG